ATTTGGTGTGAGGATGAAGCCTATTTTTGATACACTTCGCCCTTCAAAGGTTTATGTTGATAATCCCAAATGATGAAAGAATTACAAGAGAGAAATCCATAAATTTTTGTGAAGGCAATGGACTTAAGTGTTTTACTTCTAAGATTGAGCCAAAGTAAGTGGAAAAAGCACTGAATGATGAATATTCAACAACTGGCTTGTAAATTAAATCAATGCAATGTGAAGAGTAACGTTTGTAGGTTGGTTAGACCAGCAGCAGACAAACCAATTGGAGAAAATGGGGAGGTATATCATTTCTTCCAAACCTTGGTCATTTTTAAGTGTTGATTCAAGTCCTTTTGGCTTGACTGTCTCCCACAGTGGGGAGCAAATGTAAGGAGGTAAAGGTGCATTAAAGGGGGTACATCATTTGTTCTCATCTTAATATAGTTTGATATTGGTTTGATGGTTTGGATAGATTGTTTATCTGTGTGAATTACTTGTTGCTGATTGTGATGTCTAATCTGAGTTGCATGGATTAAGGGGGAGTCCAGTATATTCTTGAACGAGCGATCAAAAGAAGCAGGAGCAACCTTCAACCCCCATCACGAGGATAAATAATTTTTTTTTATGTTTTCCAAAGAGGGAGAAGGATGATGCTTGCATGTTGGTCTTGGAAAAAAAAAACTGTTGATTTGTGGCAGTGCTTGTATATGTTTTGTTGTTGATGGGGAGAGTTCTTGTTAGGGATTAAGGCGCCTAAAGGTGCAATGAAATTATGGAAGCGGATCGAAACACAATTGAAGCACAAACAAAAAATTGCAAAATACAAAAAGAACACAAGATTTACGTGGAAAACCCAAAATGGGAAAAAACCATGGATGATGAGGAGTCCACTAGATGAATCGAATGTTTTCAATGTTACAAATCGAATGATTAACTCATCACAACCCCAAAAGCATCCCCTTATCAATATCTATGCAAAAGGGGAAGTTTTGACCTTCTAACGTGGAAGGTAAATCAAATCGATAGAAATCACCAATATATGGAAGGATGGAGAAATGGAATCTTAGGAAATCACTCCTTGATCATGCCCATGACTCTACTGATTTGGTGCCAAGTCAACCTTGCCATCTTGGTCACGCCCGTGATTAAAGCCTCCGAATCTTCTGATTTTGTAAGATATATAAAATCAAATCCAGAATAGGAAAGTCCGTCTAGTCATGCCCATGACTAAGGCCGCCGGAAACTTCTGAGAATCTTGCCTTGAAGAGAATTTGAGGCACAAGGATATATATTAATTTTACACTCTTTCTTATATTTGATGAACTTGAGAATTTCACCCACCCATTCTGGCTGATTGTGTACTACAAAGTCACCATTATGTGTGATTGTACGCTAAGATGCTTAAAAGGTTGTTGTTTTGCGGCTTCTTGTGGCTATAGAAGTGCGCTATCCTCAACGCATCACAATTCTTAGAGGAAACCAAGAAAGCAGACAAGTATTTTTTGTTTTGTATCTTTCATGGTAGTTGTCTTTTTTTTTTTTAATTTTTAAAATAAGATTTGGAAAATTTTGCCTTTTTTTTTTGCAAGAGCCGGTTGTTTCTTGGAGTGAGAACTCACTCTCGTCGCTACTTGTTTCTGATGGAAAATGGTCTAGTTGTTTACTTTTGTGAGGAATATTTGTGTAATTCAAATGTATTTTTTTAATACAACTCGTAATGGTTAAATGCTATTGTGATTTGATGCTGATGTGGACGTCGAAAGGCCTCCCGAACCACTTGGACCAATCATCCGAAGCCGAGCTCGTAAACTTCAAGATCACAAGGATGAAGCATGCGGGCCTATCGGCCTGAGCCTAACAAATTTAAAAGCTCAAAATGAAGACATGTCATTGCTTACGTCATAAACATTGATATCATTGCTTATATCACATGTGATGATGTCATTGCTTAGATCACTGTTTGGGAATGTACTACCATTAATTATAATCTTGAAAATATATATTTTTGGGAATGTGTTGTCATTAGTGTGATATTTGTAATATGCATTTGAGAATATATTGCCAGTGAAATTTGCCCGGAGTCATGAAGGAGACATTCCTGGCGATGCAGGAATAGATTGAAACGTGATCCTTTAAGAAATCCTGATCCAACATAGTTTGCATTAAGTTTTGTTGATCACATAACATTTCCTACATGGTTGTTCTTTGCTGGTTGTTCAATTGTTGAACATGTGCTAACCATTCGGTTGGTACTGGAGATATTCCCCCTGTAGTTACTATGGTAGGTGGAGTTGTTGTAATGGCTCCGACGGTTGTGTTGTGGCCTTGGGACTGAGAACCTGCCATGTGGTTCATTTCGATGATTCGACCAGATCGGAGTTGTATGAAATTTTTTCCAGAGGTAGGATCATAAATCTTTCTGTAAAACCCCAAAAAAATTCTATGGCAATGTCTCACGCCGACACCGAAACAACAACACATATGGACATGTCGTATCTCGATGCCAAGGCTAAAACATAATAAAAATAAGTACAAACAATTTTTTTTAGGAAGTCATAAAATATTTTTACCAACACCCATAATTACTTTAAAATATACAATTGTAAAAGGTCATGCATGGTTGATAATAGTCCATCCCTATGATGCATCAAGTCGATGAAGGTCTAGATTTCAACTTTGCATGGAAGAAAGTAGTAACATGAGCAAGAGTTGAGTAAAGAAATTAATATACAATGCATGAAATAAATTACCAACAATAAATGGTAGCCAACCAACAACTACAACTATCCAAAATTCATTTGTCACTCAATTAAGGACCAACTTGCCACGTAACCGCTAAGTCTAACAAAACCAACGGCTCACACAATTATTAATTAACTTCCCAGAATGGCTAAATCTAGCTAAATCCATGACTATCACAATTTATCAAGTGACTTATGTCAAATCCAAGACTTACACAATTTACCAATTGACTTGCCAATCGACGGTTAAGTCTAGCCAAATCTACGGCTTATACAAATTATCAATCGACTTGTCAATCAATGGCTATGTCTAGCCAAATCCATAGCTTATACAATTTATAATTGACTTTCCAATCAACGGCTAAGTCTAGCCAAATCTAATATAATTTATCAATCGACTTGTCAATCAATGGCTAAGTCTAGCCAAATTCATGGCTTATACAATTTATAATTGACTTGCCAATCAACACCTAAGTCTAGCCAAATCCACAGCTTATACAATTTATCAATCAACTTGTCAATCAACGGCTAAGTCTAGCCTAATCCACGGTATACAAATTATAATCGACTTTCCGAGCAATGGCTATGTGTAGCCAAATCCACGGCTTATACAATTTATCAATTGACTTGGCAATCAACGGCTAAGTCTAGCCAAATCCACGGCTTATATAATTTATAATTGTCTTGTCAATCAACATCTAAGTCTAGCCAAATCCACAGATTATACAAATATATCAATTGACTTGCCCATCAATGACTAAGTCTAGCCAAATCCAAGGCATACACAAATTAATAATCGACTAGCCAATCAATGGCTAAGTCTAGTCAAATCCATGGCTTATACAATTTATCTATCGACTTGCCAATCCACGGCTAAGTCTAGCCAAATCCATGGCATTCAAAAATTAATAATCAACTTGACAATCAACGGCTAAATCTAGCCAAATCCACGGCTTATACAATTTATCAATCGACTTGTCAATCAATGGCTAAGTCTAGCCAAATATACGGCATAAACAAATTAATAATCGACTTGTCAATCAATGGCTAAGTCTAGCCAAATCCACGGCAGACACAAATAATCAATTCTTAATAGCAAGTTCACCATATATCACATAAGGAGATATAACTATAATATGCTATTTAACCCCTTACTTGACTTAGGGGAAGCTAACCAACTCAAATACCACCAACTTGTGGGACTTTGTTTGGTCAGACTTCACCTAATCATCAATTCCAGAAATCAATATACTCAAATTTAGCACAGATCTTTTAAAAATCACCATAAATTCATCGTTGGCTCAAACGTTATGAAATTAGTGCCAAATCAACTCTAAAGTTCCTAAATTATATTTCAAAGACCAAAAATGCAATTATTAATTTGAATTACATCCAGAATATCATCTTAACTCAAATAGTCCGTTCATTTCGGAAAACAAAGCAGTGGTATTATAAAAATCCCTAAAAATCCATGTTACACCAAAATGGGACAAACTTGGTCTCTAATGAAAGCTAACACATATATATCTATATGCTCAAGTAAACCAAAACATAAAATAAACTATCGGAAAGAACATAATAGGAGTTAAACATACTGAACAGATCCATCGTCAAGAAACAAGATGTGTAACTTTGAAAATTTATATAAAATTCATTTTATATCCAAATGGAACAAAATTGATCTCTAATTAAAGGTTAAATAAATATCTACATATTTCATGAAACAAAAGCGTAAAAAAAGCATTCAAAAGTTACAAAGAGTCCGTCGAGCACTCTGTAATGTTTTCCGGTAAAAAAAATGGTTGTATAACTTTAGAAAATCATATAAAATTCATTTGTATTTCAAACAATTCATTTAATATGTCAAAATAAAGATAAAATCATGAAAAATATGAATAAGCACTACCAAAAAACTGCTCATTTGTAGCGGAATCTCATCCGCAACAATTTTTTCGTTACAAAAACTATTTTTTGTTTCGATTATTTTCGTAACAAATAGTATTTTTGATTTGGTCAACCTTTTTAATTTTGTTGCAGTATATTTTTCGTTACAACAATAATAATTTTAATTTCAAATTTCAAACTAAATTTAAAATAATCTTAAATAATATATCACATATATACATATATAATATTTACATATTAATATATACTAACTGAAATTAAAATTACTGTTTTTTATTTAAAATTAAAATTATTATATACAATTAAAAAGTAGAATTAAAATTGGGACTTCTAAAAAAACCCTAGACACGCCCCATCCGGCATCCGCTTCTTCCTCTTCTCTGTTCGTTCTTTGTTTGTCTTCTTCATTCTTCTACTTCTTCATTCTTTCATCATCTTTCTTTTTTACTTTTCTTCTTCTTCCCGTACTTATTCATTTTTATTCTTTTAAGTTATCCATACCACACCCCTGAACCGCGCCGCCTCCACCTTCCTCGACCGTCGACCATTGACCATGCTCCGCTGCCACCTTTCTTGACTCGTCGACCGCGAGCTGCCCCTACCCGCTGACGGTAAGCCACTTTTTATACGGTTTCGTCATTCTATTGTTTTAGTTTATTATATTGAGGCGATTTTAGTAGTAGTTTCTTTTGCGCCGCTACTGTTTTTGTTTTGTTATTTTGCTAAATGTTGGGTGAGGATCGCAACTTGCGTATTTTGAAGAAATGAGATTTGGTGAAGCCTTCTAGCTTTGAATCTGTTTAATTTGGCATGTTCGTGTTGATTTTTTCATGATGCAGGTTGTTTTTTTTTTTATTTACTTTATTGTTTGTTTGTGTTGGTGTTAATTTATGAGTTTATTTTTTGCGTGGTGGTTAGCTCAATGATACAAATTGCATACATTTTCCAGTTCCTTAAATCTCTCATAGGATGCTGTATTTTTTGGTATCCCTCGGAGGTTTCCAATTGTAGTGTTTGCAATCTTTATCTCCTTGTTATGAATGTTGGAGCAAAATACATTCCAATTAAAACATTTCTTTCTAAAATAATACAGTTACAAGCTTTTGTTTTAGTTGTGAGTAACTTTATGATTCGAATCAAGACATGTGTGAATCAATCATGTTATGAGTAGTAGTTTTTGGTTGTTTTCTCAGGTTTCCATGGATGGAATTTGGTAAGTATGTCCAGTGAATGGTGGAGCTGTTCAATTTCCCGGCTTTAATGGTAATAGAAAAATTACTCATTCCGATGCTTATTAACATCGTATCCATACAATATAAATTTTTATCAAATAATTCTAAAGAAACCCCCTGTTTTAATTCATAATCCATTTTTTTTGTAATACATATTTTGAATGCGTTGTTTGCTGCACAAATAAATCATTTTTGTCTTTTTTTTGCTTCACAATTAAAACTATTCTTGACTTGAATAGTTGTGTATTTGGTGCCCTGCATAATAATAGTCTAATTTAATAGTCATTTATTTATTTATTATGCATGTATGTTTGTGTGTGGGCTGTTTTTAGATTACATTGTAGGTAGGATCCTGGATTGGAATCGGGCATTGGGAAAAATAACATGACTGATGAACTATTGTATTCCTGTTTGAGATTCTCATTTCCTTCTCATCTCTAGTTATGTCTGCTATTGTTCTCATCATTTAATATTCACTAGATATGTTTTTTTTCTTTATCAATGTATTAATTTCCCTCATAATTTATAGTTGAAATTAGCTTGGACATTACTTGTCTGCACATCCACTGCTAAATGTTTGATTTAAATTTGTTTCAACTTCTACTTACAATGGTTGTATGTGTTGAAATTAGCTTTTGAATATGTTGAGAATAATTATTGTTTACTAAATTATATTTGATCAAAATATGTATTGCATGATTATGAGAGATATCCAATTAGCTTGGCGTATTTATTTTCTTTAATAACCATTTTTGTTTATCAATATTTTTGAAATTCTTTCTAAAAATTTGTATTTTCTCCAAAACATAAGCGCGACATGAGTACTGTTACACAGTTATGAACCTTTCATACTTAGGATGCAAGCTACACAAGTCAGCTATATTTCATTCCCCAGTTTGAGAAAGGACAAAGATGACTGGTTGGCTATTATCGGGTGAAGAGGTTGGATTGAAATGGTAGATGGAAAATGTTCACTCAACCGGAAACTATTTGTTCCATATGGTCTTGTTGGGGAGCATATATGTTTATAATTTAAGATTATTGTAGATGCTGGTGGATGATTTGATTTTATCCCCAAACCGCTTTGTTTTTTGTTATAATTCAAAGTGTTTGATATTTGGATACATTTGCACTCAATTTATTGTTGTTGTTGAATCGACACATGTTTAAGTTAGTTGTTTAAACAAACAGATTTACATGCATCAAATAAATTGATTATACTGCTAGTTGTTCTATAATTGTGTTGTTGTATAGATGTTGGTCCGGGTGTCATCAAGATAGAGTCCATGCAATAATTCTATTTATGTTGTTCTATATTTTGTTGTTTTTACATTTGTGTCATCAAGATAGGCTCCATCTCGACTAAATTCTTATATACTTTTGCACTATATTTGCAGCTTGTTCGTCGCCCGGAACTTCCATGTACGTTCAATTTAACATTGCATGGGGCTGGCAATGTGGCACGTGATTCTATGATGATTAAATTTTGTTTGTGGATTGATGCTAACCTCATTTCCGTTGGTTGAACTTGCATTCTCTACTTTCTTTTGTGTGTTTATTTTTATGCTTTGTCGTATATGTTACGCTGAATTGCGAAGTAGTTATGTTTCTACACAGTGCGTACTTAGTGCAATTGATAGTTTATGTAATATTATTATATTTTGTAATTTCGTTTGGGAGTATTTTTCGTATCATACAAGTTTTTATTGAAAGAATAAGAATATTTTATTGTTACGAAATTGTGGTCGTTACAAATACCGTTACAAAAAGTTTGAATGTTGTTTTAAATAGTTTTCTAACAATAAGCTATTGTAACAAAAAATATACCGTAACAAGTACCGTTACAAATGGATGAACATTTAATGTAACGATTCTTTTATTACGAGAAATATCCGTTACAAATTCATCGAAAATTCAAAGTTTGCGTTACAAAAACCGTTACAATAAGTGATTAAGAAGTGCATTGACCGTCCACTTTTTGTAACGAAAATAGTTGGTACAGAGACTTTTTGTAGCTCGAGTATATGCACCGGTCAAAATCCGGTACAAAATCATTACAAATAGCTTTTTATAACAAAAAATGGCCATTTGTAGCAGTTTTTTAACCGCTACAAATAGCCTTTTTTTTTTGGTAGTGAAGGTTTTAAAACAGTAATTTCATGGTTTAAATAAGGGAAATAACTTAAAATAATGCACACATATTATGAAATCAAATTTCAAAAGTAAAGAAGAAGAAGTATGAAACTTACTTCAAAATCACCTCAACTTGAGTTGGAGGAAAGGGAGTGACGGCTAGGGTTTCCGTATGAGTGTTTGGGGGATGAAATAAAGGTTAAATAAAAGAGATAAAGTAATATTTTGTATTTTAAAAGTGGAGTTAAAAACACATTGACGCTTTTTAAAAATGTATTTTAACAAACAGCAGACCTTTGAATATTAGTTTGGCTATAACTCCTTCATTTGGATTGGGATTGACTCGCCATTTGCGGTGTTGGAAAGGTAACTTAAAAACCTATCCAATGACATAAAGTTTATAAAAATCAGATATGAAATCCAAAATATACATTAATTTGAAGTTGACGTATTTATAATAAGAACCTTAAGATATTTAATTTCACAAAACATCTAATGGGCCAACTTGATTATGAGTCGGGTATATTACATCCTAACAACTTTAAAAGAGATTCTGTCCCCAAAATCAATCATCTAATCTATTAAAAAAATAAAATAATACAATAGTCCCACTATGGACTCCCAACCAATAACACAATTTGTTCCCAAACTCCCGGATTCAATACATTGTCATCAACAACATAACAACGAGCCAAACAACGATATCCACGAGAGCATCAACATATATCCCATCTAAACTCATATCAATAATTCAAATGGTATTAAATAACAAAACAAGGCATATAATCACATATGCAATCAAATCATATGCAATCGGATTCTTACTCTCATGGATGGGTACACTAATTATAATCAAATTTTCCTTGTAGACGAGTAAATTCCGAAAACATATTTTAGGTGTCCTGGGGCATTGGGAATTTACGAATGGAAGGTGGTGCGTTTTGGATTAAAAAATATAGTGGCTACTTATCAAAGAGCAATAAATGTAATTTTCCATGATTTAATTGGAGAATCTATGGAGGTTTATATTGATGATATGGTCGTCAAATCAGACGATTTTGAGAGTCATTCAGAGGATCTGAAGTCAGTGTTCCACCGGATAAGAAAATAAAAATTAAAGATGAATCCAACTAAATGCACTTTTGGAGTATCCGCAACAAAATTTTTGGGTTTTATGGTGCACGAGAGAGGAATCGAGATTGATTCAAATAAAGCCAAGGCGATTATGACGATTTGTTCTCCTAGGTCGGTCAAGGAGGTTCAAAGTCTACTGGATAAGGTAAATTATTTAAGGAGATTTATTACCAATGCTGCAGGGAAGATGAAGCCTATCATGAAATTGCTGCGGGTAAAAACTCCTAAAGTTATTTGGGGGACCGAACAACAAAAGGCCTTGGAGGCCATCAAGGCTTCTTTAACTGACACTCCTGTCTTGATGCCTCAACATGGGGACCAGCCTCTTAAATTGTACTTACGAAATACACATGAGATGGTAAGTTGCTTAATAGTACATAAGTGGAAAAATGATAAAGAAATAGCTATTAATTACTTGAGCAAAACCCTCATTGGGCATGAGTTATATTATACCATGTCTGAGAAGATGTGTTACTCTCTGGTGTTTGCATATACCAAGCTAGAGCATTATTTACTCCCCAGGGAGACAGAAGTCATTTCCAAGGTAGATCTGGTCAAGTTGATTTTACAGAGATCAACCATGCAAGGAAGATAAATGAAATGGGCCATTAAGTTAGCTCCATGTTCGTTAACATAGAAGCCTTTGAAGGCTGTTGGAGACAATTCATGAGGATTCCAAGCACCCTCTCAAGTGGTACCGAGTAATTCTTTACAAGATACGAGAAAACCATACATCTAACATGTTTCAATTTCAACAGGAAAATCGGAATAGTATACAAAGCTTGGAAGAACAAGTAAGTCGAATGGGAAATGAGATAGGTAAGATGCAGTCTAACGAAAAAAAAAATTTGTTATTATCGATATAGAACTCCTTTCTTGAGCTTTTGAGTAACAACTCTTCAGATGCTTGTTATCCAGGTTACCATTGATGACAACAGCCCTGGAGCGGGTGTAATCCACAAGTAATAATGACACAAGCATGATTTATATTGTTACATGTCATCTTATCATTTACTTAGTTTTGATAATTTGTTTCTTTTCCTTTTTGTGCATGTTTATAGTTGATAGCTAAAGGAAAATGTGTTGTTGTAATGGGATGTGGTTACCGAAAATGATCTTTCGAAATGGTCCCTAAAATAAAATTCAATAAAAGTCCTACTGAATTGTTGAGAAACCAACACCATTGACACTAAAATTGCAATATATAATATTGCGACCTAAGATTACTCAGGATTTAAACTTGTTATGTTTTCCTAGTGTTGTTATTTAATGATAGTTGCACTAATTCATAGGACATGCCACCAAACCAGATTCAAGGTAGGTTTGATTAATTATTTGTTAATTGTAGTTGTAAATATTTATATTATTAAATGACAATTCCAAGGATATTAATCAATATTTACATTGTTAGAACTTGTTTTAGATCAAAACGAGACATTTTCTATGAATTTTGTTGTTTGATTTTTCTTTTTATTGTGGTTGATGTTAAAATTATTAGTTTAGATTTGGTCCAAAAGTATCAATAAATAAATTAAATATTTAGGTTATATAAAAATACGTTATGATCAACTTGTTAGTTTACACATGTACTTTGTTGTTAATATAGATTAAAGTATGATTATTATTCGTTAGTTTGGTTGGTATTCATGTGTTGTTTTGTGTTTAATTGTAATGAATAGTATATGTTTGCGAGTTTATTGGTTACATGTCATAGTTTTCCAACTTTTGTATTTGTTTGATTTTGTAGATCTTAGTTTGATGAATAATGTTAGCTATTGATTACAGATAGATTAGTGGAATTTGTCTTGAGTAATAATGTTGGTTGTGGGCTAGATCCTTTGATGTGTAACGAATAGTTATTGTCTATGATTTAGTTTGGATTTGCATTGTGGATGTTTTTATGGCTACGGGTGAATCGTGTTGTTACTGCCAAAAATAAAGTATTTATTCTATGATAGTTATATGGTAATGATTGTTAATTTTAGTTTGTTTTTAACATGATGCTTTGAATGTGTTTTTCATTATTTTCTTTGGCAGTTATTATATTATATATGAGGTTATCATTCATATTAAACATTGATGAAGTCTATTGAAGTATGGTTTATTTGAATTTATTTGTTTTTGCAAATTTCTTGTTGGCAATACTATTTTATTTTATTTTATTTTCTTAAGCTCATGAATTTATTCCACTATATTAAAGGAGAATGCTATTGTTGTGCGAAGTCAACTAATTTTTTGTACGACTTCTAATTGCAGCTTGTGTGCCACCTTTGAACCGTGCTATGTTTTCCTCAACATATTGGTTTCGTTTGCCATGCAGGTTGTTCAACGTGAGTGATAATGTATGGTATGTGGTTATGCCCATGTGGAGTGAAGGTGAAATAGTTGTCTAGACTTTTGAAGTCATTTCTCGTGTGGTGGGAATTTTAGTTATGGAATGATAGATGTCCCTACTCGTTTATTATTAGGTTTGATCAGAGTACTTGTGATTGTATCTTTGTGGAGATGTTGGTGGAACTTGTTTGATGTATTACTTTATTTTGTTATTAGGTGATGGCTTTCGACTATTAAGTACTGCTATGTTAGTATCTTATGTTGGAAATCATATATATTATCTATTGTTTTCGACTATTAATTTTTATATAGTATATTACAGTAAAATTTAAATATACATTAAAAATCACATCAAATAAATAATGTAATTCAAAATTGTACTACTCGAAATGGAAACTCCATAGACAAACACACTCTTATTATGAACTAATATTTGGTTAATATAAAACCCGGAAAAATACGACATAAAAAACCTAATTTTTTCTGTATTTTAAAAATTTATGTGATGAATTGTGAACTAATACCACGCGACATCATACATATAGAACCTAAGATGATGCAAAAAGTGCTCAAGTTTTAAAATTTTCAATTTATATTAATCCACAAACATTTGTTATACTATGTAATGATGCAAATTAATTTGAAGTACAAAATTTGCATAATTTTGAAGTTCCTGAAAATATATTATGAAAAGTGTTTGTCGCAATATTTGTTTCACGTAAAGCGAGGTCATGTGATCCCTGCAAACAATTTATCTAAAACTATTTCAAAATCATTCTCATTGTCCAACTAGAATTGCGTAAATTATAATTATAAGATTTACAAAATGTATAATACCAAAAACTCTTAATTGTTTTACTTTGAAGGGCACTAAATTTGTTTTACTACAATTTAAATATAAATTTTTTACCCCTTCAAATATGTTTTGAAAATATATGTTAATACTTTTGTGATGCGAATGCATGAACTGAAATCAATCTCGGAAATCATTTTTTAAATATTATCGTCGTTAAATATGTACAATGAAGGTGGATTTGGTCAAATATTAACATTTTGAAAATGGAAAATTTCATAAGTGTTTGTTTTAAGT